CGCGAGTTAAACTTTCATGATTCGAAGAGTGATAAATTCGAATCACTCGGGTCACGAGTTGACGAGTCCAGTCCCTATTACAATGTAGTATCAAATTTAGAATCAACATAAGCTGTTTTTAGATTTCGTATCAACTTGAGTTAGATTTGAAACTCCGTTTCAACATAAGTAAATTCTAAATCTAAAATAATTCCTTTCCGACGTAAAACATTTATAATATCGAATTAAATTAAATCGTTATTATTAAATTCCTTAAGTGTGACATTAAAAATTGTAGGGGAAAGTACTATAGTTAATATTTTTACTATATGCCGTCAATATCGCGCTATATACCACATGTACGTTTTATATCACTATCAATATTATATCCTGTTCTGATAATTCTCCTTTTCATTTGAAACCAATAATAAGCTTGTATTGTCTATTGGAGTTCCAATACCATTTCGATTACAGTAACCGACTTGTGACATTCCTCCTGCAAAACCCATCTCTGCAGATTTTTTATAACATTCGAATGCCTTCTTTTCGTCCTTTTCTACTCCGACTCTTTTGAGATAGAACCTTCCGACATTATTTATTCCTTTAACATACCTCATCTCTGCAGATTTTTATAATATTCGAATGCTTTCTTTGCGTCCTTTTTGACTCCGACAATTTAATTTCTTCATAACAAGTTATTATTCATTCTGCCAAACCCATCTTTGCAGATTTTTTATAATATTCGAATGCCTTCTTTCGACCTCTTCGACTTTGATTCCTTCGAAATCAACATTATTTATTCCTCCTGCAAACCCATCGTTACTGATTTTTTTATAATATTCGAATGCCTTCTTTCGTCCTTTTCGACTCTGATTCCTTTGAGATAGCAATTTTCAACACTACATGACCCTTCAGCTAAACCCATATCAAAAGACTTTTGATAATGGATATATACCTTACGATAATCTTTCTCTACCTCAATTCCACTATGATAACAGCAACCAACACCACACATTCTAATGGCAATGACCCATACTAGCTACTTTTACAAATTGAATAAATGGGTTGAGTCAGTAGAAACACACCAAATCTTTTTTAATGAAATTTTTTTTGAATTTTTGAAAACTAACCCAACAAAAGCTTAATCAAATTTAAGGTAAAATTTTTTAAATTAATTCTACAAGTTTATAGAATTAATTTAAAAAAAATTTTATTGAAGAAAATTTGCTTCGAAAAAATTTGATGCATTTTTATTGACTCACCACAAATGCTTTATATTGATCTTTTTCAATTTCATTTCCATTGAAATAACAACGAACCTCTTCAGAATTATCCATAGAGATAACTTAGAGTTCTTTTAAATTTTTTTTTTTTTGATTTAAAAATAAGAAATTTATTCTAGTGTATGAAACACGGTATTTGTGTAATTTAAGAGCAAAAAAAATTAAATTAAATTTAGATTACAAATAACTGATCAATGCGTATGGATTAAGAATTTGTTCTTGTGTAAAATATATATAGCGTACTTGTTAAAAGTCAAATGAATACACCTCACTCTGGTTATAACAGCACCTCAAAAAAATCAGATATATCCAGATGTCAGCTTAACCAGAAGCATCTTCATATTAAGTATATAGGTTCAAAATTTTAAAAAATGTCGTTATAACCAGATGTCGGTATATCTAGATGTCGATATAACCAGAATGATGTGTATAATCAAATAATATAAATAAGGACAGTATTTTACTATGCTAACCCCCGTAGTGTCACTGATAAAAAAAGGTTCATCATGCAATTTTACCTCTAACCTAACGCGGGTCGTAATTTTTATTTTTGCCCTAAAATTTTTCTCAATTGGCTATGAAAGTACTAAGTGCATGGAGCACTGTTTAAATTTTTCCTATAAATAATGTGATGATTTTCGACCGCCAATTAACAATGAAGCTCCACAATGTTGTTGAAACAACTTTGGAATAAAGATCCAAAAAAAGCCATCAGCAGAAGAACTCTGAAATTTTTAAAAAATGACCAAATTTTTAACGGAACTAAATGAATCCAAACTAATAATACCTAAGCATATCAGAAACTTTGATAAAATGCAAACAGTGGTAACAAACTAATTAGTTTATATGATCCAAATCAATATTTCAGAAATCCTTAAGATACTATCTAGTTAGAAAATAACCACAAAGTGAAAATTATCCACTTATCAAAAAACCATATTAAAAAATTTCTAAGCAATGATTGGGTTTAAACATGTCTTAAATTGAATTTAGTCCAGATCTTTAAATAAAATAGATGAGAATAATTAAATGTTAAACGTATAGCCATGATATTTTTGGGTATATATTTTTAAATACAATCAAACCTCTCTATAGTCATACTCTATATAGTCACATTTACTTATAATCACACTAATTTTTTAAAATCAACTTATATAAAACATATAAACTTTAACATCTATATAAGCACAATTCTTTATAAACACAGAATTCTTGAAACCAAGTGTGATTATAGAGAGGGACTGTATAAAGTAAATAAATACAAAAGAATTTTAGCATTGAGTTTATATATAAAGGTCAAATTTTGTGTTTTATAATGGCTAGGATTAAGAAATAGTGTGATTATGACAAGGTTATGACTATATCAAGAATGACTATAACGAGGTCTGACTGTATCTTAAATATTGAATTTACTGATTAAGATAATCTACTTTTTTTTAAAATAAAAATATTAAAAATTAAATTATTAAGGCTTAGACGAGCTTTGAACACTTGAATATTTGAATGTTAAAGGCTTTGAACATCAAAATATATATTCCTGCACTAATATATACACACAGAGTATTGCTATTCTCAATAGTTTGACTATGAAACTTACTTTTGAGGTTCTAACAAAAAAAGATTTCTTGCAAAATTTTAGTATAAACTATTTTTTTTTTGTTTTTAAAACTATTCTTAACCTCTTTAATTCATTTGATCAATAAGTAGTAAAGAACTATAAAGATCTGTTTGTACAAAACCGGTAAATTAATGTTGCTTGCCAACTTGCACTATGCTTCTTGGTATATTTGAGAAAAGTTGGGTGCATTTCTAACCTTATGAGAAAGAGCCAAATTGATTCTTTGCTTAAAATAACCCCTCTATTTGTTAAGAATTTACATAAACAACAACACCACATTCACCAATCAAATTGCAGTATTGACTAATTGGGATTTTTATATTTTTACAGCCAATAGAATTACTGTATTTTTTGTGTTGTTTGATGCCTCCTTTTACGAGATATTTTTTGTTATGCTAAACACAGAATCAACTTGGAGTGGCCTCATAGTGTACTACACGTTCAAGAAGGGTTTGGTGCTTGAAAGAAGAAGCATGATAGATTATTTAATTACAAAATTTAGAAATGAGTTGTCAGATTTTTAAGTTTGAAGTTTAAAATTTTGTAAAAAAAAATGTGATATTTATTATAACACTTATTAACATCTCTGATAGTATTAATTTATAACAATTAATTTCTGATTCTATGGAAAACTATTAAATTGTAAATATATATATTTATTATACTAAAATCTAGTTGTTTTAAGAGCATAAATAATCGAGAATATCGATTTTACAGAGGTAGTAAGTATCAATAAAAGAAGTATGAAAAGCGTAGTAAAATCATTTTTAATGGATAATGATTAAATAAAATATTCAACGGTATTTAAAAACTTTTTTAAGTAATGTTCAATTTTTAAATTACATTCCAAAATGTTATATTACCAATACGAATTCGAATTCACATAAGCATTTCTCCCCGCAAAAATGATAAACATATGTGTACTATTCTCAGGTATGGAATAAATTGTATAGGTGTAAATAAAAAATTCTATACTTTTTTAACCATTTTCTTTTGCTTTTTCTTCAGCTCTCTTTTTCGTTCTTTTTCTTCATACTAATATGAGTAAAGTGTTAAAATATTGAGTTGACAAAATAGAATACTATAAAAATAAAAATTACCTTTCGTTGTTCTTCAGGAGATAATTTAGCTATACGTTCAGCTTCAGCACGTTTCTTATCAGCCTTTTTCTGCTGAATTTCCTATTTGAAAAAGGGTCGAGCCAGATTAGTTGTAAAGGATATATAATAGCAATTAATGAATTTGTAATTAATGGGTTTTAATGAAAATAATGTACCTCTTGTCTTTCAAGTGTTAAATTTTTTTGTATTACTTTTTCAGCTTCTTCTCTGTTCTTTTTAAGTTTTTGCCTAGTCTAAAATATCAAGTATTAAATATAACTTTATTAATAGTGTAACAAAATATTTATCCTTAAGACAATAACATACCTCAGTTCTGAAAGAACATTGTGCAGGAATCAAATCAATCAATGTTAGAAGTAGTTCTGTTACAATCAGAATATCCGAAAACATTGATATGTCATCTGGAAGTTCATGCATGACAGTTAAAATTTTTTGTCGATCTTCAATGAGTCTGCATATATCAAAAAATAAGATTAACATGATAATAAAACTAATTATAATAAACATAATTACAAGTTTAACAAAGCATACTTTTCCGGACGAATTCGTGGCTGATCAGTAATTATTAGATATGTCAAATATTTGGAAGATGCTTTCAATAAATCAATAATTCTATTGCTAAGAACTATATCAGTAATTTCCACAGATTCGCTGTGAACGTTAAAAACGTTTGGGAGGAGATTATGCTGACTTTGTTTTGTAAAAGTTTTCTAAATATAACATAATGGAATAATTAAAATTCATTATGTTCGTCGTAATCATAATAATAATACTTGAAAATATGTATATATATGCGCTACCAAATCATAACGTGATTGACGAAGATCGGAAGCGCTTTCTTTTTTTATGACACCAAAAACGAAGTCATCGTAATAACCATTATTCATTGTTACATTATAAGTCTAAAAAAAATATATATTGTATTTGGATTATTTAAAAGATAATAATGAAAATTGTTTAACTAAACTTTACAATTAAATACTTACGACAGTGTCTTTTACAGCTTTACTGCTAAATTGAGATGTAAAAAAATTTGTAATTGTTTGAAGTATATCATGCCGTGGCTTAAGCTGTATACATTGTCAATGGGTATATTCATAAAAATTGATTGATGAAAATGAGGTTTAATATTACAAACCGTTATTCTTCCATGAATATATTGACAATTTCTGCGACCACTCATGTAGAAAAGATAATCCGCAGGACCATCATATATAAGAGTACCTCTACCATTTCCAACAAGGGAAAAATTATCTTCAAAAAGTGATTGATGTTTTTCCATCCTATAAAATCAATAAAATAAAACTAATCAAATTAATCCAATTAGTA